AGTTAGAACAATTAACCAGTGGAAAAACCTGCCTCCAGAAGCGGTGAATGCTCCAACACTGGAAGTTTTTAAGAAGAGACTGGACAGCCATTTATCCGAAATGGTGTAGGGTTTCCTGCCTGAGCAGGGGGTTGGACTCGATGACCTCCAAGGTACCTTCTAACTTTATTATTATTATTACTTGTTTGAAATTTGTTTATCTTCACCACTGCCTTGATGATGCATAAGCAACTATGGGTTTTGAGGTGAGTAGCAATTTGAATAAGGTACTTTTGCAGATTGGCAATTCAGAATAGTGTTAGTGTCTAGGAGGAATAGCTTACCTCTAGACAACAATAAATTTTATGCCTCAGATTCTCTCCTTAGACCATTTTGAAATGCTATGGTCAGCTGTGGCCTAGTTGTTGATTTGCAGCTTGTATCTATTTTAGAAGCATTGAGCTAAGTAAGGATAGCTTCCTTATAACTGAGTTCTATTCCAAGACAATCATCAGTTAGTTGCTCACCATGATTTGCAGCTGCATCTTGCTTCCTTTTATCTGTCAACCTCTATTTTATTTCTTTTATTTGTATCTTCTATATTGTGTGATATTTTATCATGGAGCAGAGAGTAAGATGGAAACTATTTCCAAGGATTCCTTGCCATTATATTCCATGACTGTATTCCATGTTGAAATAGGGGATAGTTTCTCAAAGTATGCATTATTTTCTTGGACAATGGGGATGACCAACTTTATTAGAGGTTGTTTCGAATAATTCCCTCAGGCTATCTAATCTTTTTATAATACCTACTTTTATAAGACTCACTTGTTCAGTATCCAGTAGAATACTGAATGAATTAATCAAGTTGGTTCTGAAGGATTCTTCAGAAAACTCCATTACTGGAGGTTTTCAAGAAGAGATTGGACAGCCCAGAATGGAATAGAGTCTTCTGTCTGAGAACGGGGTTGGATTAGAAGACCTCCAAGGTCCTTCCAACTCTGTTATTATGTTAAAATTGCCTTGCTGAGGGAGGTCCAGGTGGCTTACTCAGGCTATCTCTACTCAAGGACAGTGGTGATAGAACATCCTTGGAGTTAATTATATTCTTCAGAACACTGACTTGCTGTATGACATCCAGGTGGTTTATTCAGGCTATCTCTGCTCAAGGATAACGTTGATAGAACATCCTTGGAGTTATTAACTTTTGTGTTACCTCAATTAAATTTTAAAGTAGAAGAACTCCTATTTCTAAACTGAATTATTAAGGGACTGACTCCCCCTGTGGGAAACGCATAGAATGAGAAGAGATCAAACTTGTGTAAAAAAAGATTTCGTTTTAAACAGCATGCTGGCAATAGTAAGATGTTTGACAGAAAGAAGGGTACGTTTAGAGTCTTTTCCAAATCAACCAATTGCCTTTTGCAGTGGAGAATCTGACTGACAGAGAGAATTGCTGCATTTCTGGATCCTCATTTTTGCTCTCTTTACTCATAACTATGACTTTCAACAAAATCAGATCAGTTGACAAATCAAAATAATAATTATTTTGGATTTGCATGCCTTTCATACAGTACTTTCTGGAGGGAGTGAAACTTGATGCTTCTCTGGATATAGGCTTGGACCTCTTAGCATATTTCCCACTTTCTTTTTAGGTTCAAAATTAAAATCCACTTTTCATCATCATTATCTACGTTTGAATCACAGTTGCCTTTGCATGATTTTGTTTTAGTTGATTAATTAGTAGCATTTGGATGACTGTGTTTAATCTAAATAGAAGCTCTTTTTGGTGTATCTATGTTGTTAACAGTAGTCAGGAGTTCAAAAATTGACAATACTATTTTTGCCACCACTAGGCAATGTCTGGTTATGAAATCAGTGACATTTTTGTTTTTTAAGTCCTCCTTCCTTTGTTGCGTAAGCCTTGCAGCAACTGGGCAAATGACTGCATATGAACTGAGAAGGGGAAGCTTTTTCAGGGATAGAGGCAGAAAAGTCTAAAATCTTGGGAGCTCTCTAGTTCTCTAACTGTGGATTCCATTGCAGGGAGCCTTTTCTTCCTTTTCTCCATGGCAGAAATGATAGCAGTCTCCAGTAAAAATGATAAAAATACAGGTCTCCAGCAGGAGAATAAAAGAGAAGAAAGTAAAACAGAATAAAATAGGAGAAAACAATTCAATCTTTAACTAGCTTTTTTATTTTTAAGAGTAGTTTTAGAGGGAGCTCTTAACAACAGATGCCACTTCTTATGCCATCTCCACTCCCTCGTGCAATTTTCTAGGTAATAGATTATTCATCTGGGTAATATCCTGGTAAAAAAAATGTATATGTTAGTGTTTTTCAAACTTAGCAACTTTTAAGATATGTAGATTTTAACTGGCAACAGGCTGGCTGGGGAATTATGGAAGTTGAAGTCCATATATCATAATGTTGCCAATTGAGAAACACCGCCTACATAAATGTACTGTATCTTTTGTTCGTGCTTTTGATTCAAAAAAATAACTTTTTACCAAGGTTTTTAATATAGGTTTGTAGCAGTTTGGCTATTTTTTAATGAGTTCCATGACACACAGAGAAAAGCTTACTTTTTAAATCTAACAGTCATAAAAGATAGAGATTTACAAAAAAATTTAAGGCAGGTGCTTTCCAGTTTACACAAAAGGTTAAAAGGGGAGGATGAGAAGCGCATTCACATTTGTTAGATTCTGTTACTATAGCTATTCTAATAAAAGTAGTTTTATTAGAAAGCCTGTTTCTTGATCTAATCTTCCTTTTAGGGCTGACTTTGTGTGACCAGAAAGAAGTCTAAGTAAAGTCGTAGAATTGCATATTTTCCCTTCTGAGCAGTAGAAGGAAGACTTGATTTCATTTGGTCTGATTCTTGGATTACGTTATATGTAAAAAATTGTGTTTTTTAAAATAAATTGTAGTTAAATAAGTCAACCACAGATTCTGGCATGTTTGAAAATGCCTTTGAAATAACAATTTCTGATTTTTAGGAGTTAGGCACAGTGAAATATAATCTTGACATTTCTTCTAAAGAAATTCTAGAATTTTGCACAAGCTTGTTTCCAAAGAATGGAAAAGAAAAAAAATCTACCTGATATGGGCTACTGAAAGCTTGGGCAACTAGAGTAGCAGAAAGATGTCCTAAGATCTAATTTTTGGCTGACATTTGGTCCTTATACCAGTTTTTACAGATGAGATTTTGAAATCTTGAAGAAAGACTTGTATGAAATTAGTCTGAAAAATACACTTTAAAACAAGCTGGGCATTAATTTCTTGTATGCAGCCAACATCTTTATTTTGTTAATTATCTCTTGCCTTCCTGGATGCCATTCACAGTACAGAAACACAGATTCAATTTCCTTAAAAGAGATGTAATGTTAACAGCAATAAGATTCATATTAATATCCTATATTCATAACATGTTTCAAAAACTGATATAACAGCAACTCTATTAAGTCTAAATGGTATTTCTTTCTTCCAAAAATCAAAATGTTCTTAGTTTCTCAGATTTCTGAATGGGTATAATAAGCAGTTAACTAAACTGAAATAAAATCCCATAATTTCTATGCACTTTGGGGGGAAAAATGATGATTGAATGTCTAGGGTTGTTTTTTTTTAACATCCTGCATGAATCAAGGCAATGGAATTAAAGGGGTTGTGCTGTTCTTTCCACTGAGAATTTTCCTTGGGAAAGTATGGGGATTCTGTTTTGTTTAATATAAAAAGGAAGGGCATGGCAGGGTGTACCATTTCAGATATGACAAATACATTGAAACAGAATGAGTTGAAATAAATACAGCTGATATTTTTGTTATCTAGGACTGAGTAGATTAATTCTGAAATTAATCTGTGAACTGAAAATGTTTAGAAGAAAACCCTGGGAGTTAAAATTTACATGGTACAAAGAATCTATATTTAAGCACTCATTATCATGAGTATCATTTTTTGCAAATTATGAAGCCTTCATTGAATGATAAAAGTAGCATGAAAATAAATTATGAAAATAAATTATAAATATTTTCAGTTGCTGTGTGCATGGTATGCATTTGAACAAAATATTGTCAAAGAGACTTTACTTCACAAAAATCTGATAAGATTTCTTTCTATAAATACTTACAAATTAAACCTAATTAGTTTAAATATTACTAAAGTAGACAAAGTTGGTAAAAATCAAATGCTGAAAGAATGATAAGCCATAAAGTAGCAAAATAATCCTTTGAATAAATTAAAATATATTGAGAACAATATTGAGAACAATTAAAGTAAAGCAAAACTTTTAAAATTTGATAGTTTTATTGTATTAGGTAAAATGGCGACCAGATTTAGGTTGCAAAAATCTATCTAACCTCTAGAACAGAGGTCCCCAATCTTTTGGGCACCAGGGACCAGTTCCATGGAGAAAGGTTTTTCCACGGACTGGAGAGGGCGTGGTTTTGTGTGCTGCCTCCTCCATCCAATGGATGGGGCTTTCCTTGTTTGTGTGGATTGGTTGTTGGCATGCCGCAGCCTGATACCGGTCCATGGACCGGTTGGGGACCCCTGCTCTAGAAGGCAATAAAGCATTAGTTCCCTGCAGCATTTTGCTGCCATTTACAGATAGTACTAATCTTTGTTCCAATTGCACTGTCAAAATGTTACAGAAATATTCAAGATGATGCCTCTAATTAAATATTTTTATTGCCTTTTACTCTTGTCTTCAACACACAACTGTAGAGCTCTTGATTACTTTTATATATTGTTTATCCATTCACTATATTACCTTTTTTTTTTACATGTCCTTCTAGATCTATGGTGGATATGATTCATCTTCACCTAGGCTGGCCCAAATTTGCACTCCAAGATCATCACAGAATCCTTTGCATGTCTCTAGCACTGGAAATGCAGTTACAGTCAGGTTCAAAACAAGTGGGAGAATGAACAGAAAAGGATTCAATGCCAGTTGGCAAGAAATAGCTGGAGGTTAGAATGACTGTGCATGATGGGTGATGCATTGTGATGTTGTAAAACAGAATTCTGTCTGCCTGCCTACCTGTCCTATATATCTGTCTGTCTGTCTGTCTGTCCGTCCGTCCGTCCGTCCGTCCACTATCCATCCATCCATCCATCTCAGTGTTTCTCAACTTAAAGTTGAGATTGGTGTATTTCAACTCCTAGAATTCCCCAGCCACACCTTAAAGTTGCCAAGGCTGAGAAGCACTGATTATATATATATATGTATGTGTGTATGTATGTATGTATGTATGTATGTATGTATGTATGTATGTATGTATAATCTGGGCTACAGATATTGTCGGCTTCAAAAATTTTGTTTACGTGGTTGTGCTGTACCAAATTTCAAAGAATCATTTTAACAATCTTCCTTTTTATTATTGAACAAAAATATTTCAGATGTTTAGAGTTGGACAACTACAAATCCATGACCACCTTGAGTCCCGAATATTTTTTTTCAGTTCCCTAGGATACTACTAACAACAGTTGCCAAAAATTGATATCCTTGATTTCTGCATCTTAAGGATGAAACACCACCCACATACATATACAAATAAAAAACACGCAAAGCTCTCCAAAAACCAAGAAAAAATATCTCAGAAATCCTGGATCCTCTCCCTTTGCATTTTCTTACCGTGGGTGCCACAAAAGATTGGTTGGAATTTCTGGCTATCAGAAGGTTGCTGCTGCCTCAGAGAATGGTTAGGGAGTGAACTGCAAGTTACGTTTTCAGCTCTACAAAATGAAAGCCTTCATAGAGGTTCAGTTAATTGAATAAGGAGAAAGCTTAATAGCCACTGAGTTCAATCTGCTTTTTGATAAGATATATAAAATTAGAAAATATAGAATTTAGAAAACCTGTTGCTTATTGACCAACCCATCAGTTAAAAAGGAGTCTATATGTTTCGTTCCATTTCACACTTTGATAAATCTTTTATTAAATAAGCACTAAACTAACCATTTTTAAAATAAGCATTCATCTCTGGCAAAGAGAATGTAATACTATTTCTACCATTTCTATTGTTTCTAGGTTGTGGAGGCATTTTCCAAGCCCCACAAGGTGAAATTTACTCTCCAAACTACCCACAACCTTACAGTAAGAACACTGACTGCTCTTGGGTTCTTCGTGTTGATAAAGGTCACCGTATAATGCTGAACTTCACTGATATACAGCTAGAATTCTCCTTTACATGCCGCTTTGATTATGTTGCAGTGAGTACTGTTAATATTACAATCTGCTGTTGATTTAATTTTGAGATTAAGTTTGGTAGAAGCACAGGTCACATATTGATCTTTGGCCCCGGGGGATGGAAATTCAGGATATCAGAAATCCACTTGCTTCAGTTCTGATTTGCATTCCGTGTTGATCATACATGATACTTTTACAATGTTTCTAAACAGTTTCTGATTTCTAAACAGGCAATCAAAAATAGACTTGGCTTGCTTCTGCTATTCTAAAATTGTGTAGTTCTATAGAAAATACATAATAAAATATTACTTCATCCTATTGGTTTAACATTGAGAATTATGAAAATCCATCACATAAAATTTCAAAGGACAGAAAATACATGCCTATACATTAATTTCTCCATTGTGAAATACTCTGAATAATATAAGTGGCTATTTGATGAATCTGTTAAAAATAATTTCTATTCCATTTATGATATTCTACATAATAACATCTTCTCTGTGATACTATGATATATAGTATCTCAAGTATATATGCAAATTATTACGTAATTATGCATGAGTTAATGAACCAGTATTTATGTTACCCTATGACACTGAGAGGGTCATTTACCAAATGGCTTCCAGCACTTGCAGTTTATTCTTTTCCACCTAGTACCAACATTAAGAAATTTGCAATGTGTTGCTAAATTACAACGCCCAGCTTTTTCTAGCTCTGGTGAGGCTGACTAGAGTCCTAGGTTTTAAGTTTAGTAATAGTAATAACTAAAATGCTACTCCAGCCCAATGCTTTTAAATACTAAGGTAATATGATGCCAACTGGGATGAGCAACAATAAATTGGTATTTCCATTAGTCTAAGCTACAGTGAGTTTGGATAGAAAAGGATAGAATTTCATGATCATAGTCAAAGTTTGGTTTAAGTTGATCCACATTTTGTTAAAGTAAAATAAGTTGTTCACATAACATTCTAAGTCAAAACTAGAAAGATTGTTTTATGGCTTTAGGTTTGTTATATAATCAGTTGATAAAGGTGAACCAGAATTAGATCTCATCCCCACTTTTTGCTTGCTCTGATGAGATTGGGCACGTAATGATTCTGAAGGATATGAATGTACATTGCCATTTTCAACCTTCAACCTGCTCTTAGTCCATCCTAACCCTCTCCCCTGCTCTCTTGTTCTATATCAAAGTAGACTTTTCCAATTTCTGCCAGCACAAGTGGGCCATGTAGTTTGTGTCCTCAACTCCTCATTTTCTTGAAAGTAATATTTATATTCCAATTGGTTTTCATGTACAAATTGTGGCAGGCACAGTGTCTTCCATCCAGTCATTAATTGCTCCTCTTCATGGGCTAATAGCTTGGAAAAACATGGAGCTTTTTTGTTTTGTTTTGTTTTGTTTTAACCAGTCCATTTATGAAATGATGGGTCTGTCTTTGCTGTTGTTTTTGACAAATGTATCTTTTTAGTTTTTTTCTTGTCAATTGGATCTCATGAAAATTGCCTAGAAACCGAGAAATGACAGAGGAACAGGAGCCTGTGAAGGCCAGTAGAGGCTTAGAAAAGACTGCAAGAAGGAAACAAAAAAAAATGGGGGAGGAATCATGTAGGTGAATACAAGCAATCAAATGTCAAACCTTTTCCTGACTATCATAAAGAAGATGTAGAAAACACAAATTCCCCACCCCCTCCAAGTGCAAATATGCCTCCCTGTTCCCTGGACTACAATCCTCTAATGATTTGGCTTGTTGAAGTTCTCCTAATTGGCCTTACATAGCTTAATATTTGAAAGAGCTGACAGAACAGAAGAGCTGGAATGAAGCTGAGAATACTTTGCCAATTTAGTCTTATAACTCAAGAGGCAACAAGGAAAGTGAAAGGATGATATTTTCCACACGCTGCTAATTCACCAGTGGATTGGTGAAAGGCTCAACATAAGCAAGCAATATCTGCACTAAGTAGAGGGTTAGACTCGACAATCTAGTGCAGTGTTTTTCAATTTAGCCATTTTAAGATGTGTGGATTCTGGGAATTGAAGTCCATACATCTTAAAATTACCAAGTTTGAAAAATACCAGTCTTATCCTCTACGATTGCCTCCCCTATATGATGTTTGCTCATGCAGATGGAAACCATGTATCCTCAAAGACCCAATCAAGGAAAAAAGAGTAACTGAGACAGCACTACTGTAAAAAATGGAAATCCAAATACAGCTTTTGAAATCAGCTAAATTTTCCATCAAGCTGCTTAGGATGGCCATGTGGAAGAGATCATAATCAGAAGTTGGATAACTGAAACCAAAGATTCATCCTCATCCAAAATATGCCTCCTTTTACTAATCCAAATATGACCATTCACTAATCAAGATGGAAACCGCTAAAGGGTTGTGGGTTTCTTATAAATTGTTTCCATTTTAATATTCTCCATCTGAAAATATGACAATCGATAACACACAAACATATATACATACAAACACCAGAAGCTGGTATTTAACCCTGAAGGATAATTAAGAATGAAAAGTACACTGTAGAAAGGATTTTTTTTAAAAAAAGATTTTTTTTGTTTTTGTTTTGTTTTACTTTGTTAGAAGTACCTATTTTTTTGTTATAAGTACTTCTTGTTAGCAGCCACAATTGGAATTGGCAACATGGTCATTAAGTAAAGCGGTTGTTAAATGAAACTGCAACTGTCTTTATGATTTTATTTCAGCTTTCCTTTGCTTTACAGACTTGTGAAGGTTGTAAATGCAAGGACTAGTTGCAAGTTACTTTTTATCAACATCATAACACTCATTTTCATCAACATTACAACACCCATTGTGCGAGTCAGTCACTAAACAAGGACTATTTGTATTTTTTAAAATTGCATTATTTTACAATGTTAATTGCTGCTATTAGTTTAGTAAAAGGAGTGCTAGCAATATTAATATGAACTGGAGTTTTTTCATTCAAGAATCATACTTGAAAAAATAATTGAATTAATTTACCTTCTGAATAATTTATTCAAATTATTTTGCAGCCTTTTGATCTATAGTGACAATTCGGAGAAGCTTTAAAAACAGGACAAAAATATGAAGTACTTTCATCGGAAGCAGTTTTGCTTTAACTATTTTCTCATTTCCTTGTGTTTTTTTGGCAGCAATAAAGTGACCAGAGAATAGAGTTTACAAAACTATAATATTCTGCTGATTTCTGAGATGCAGGAATCATTTGATTCAGGTCCCTCTGAAAACCTCTCTACAGTGTCACTTTTTACAAAGTTATACCTCAAAGAAATGCTATATTCAGTAGATTTCCAAGTTGTGACAAATCTTGCATCTTCCCACATAAAAGCTGAAGAAAAAGTAAATGATTATTGCAGCAAATTAACATCTGCCTAATATGATGATAGAATATAAAAAAGAAAGACCAGAGTATTAGAATAGCAAGATTAAATCCGGATAAATGGCTGTTAGAGAATGTTGATTTGTGGCAATAAAAAAAAAAAGAATCACTCACAGGTACCCCTTTGCAAAATGCTACACATTTTCATGTTCTAGTGGGCCTCTCTGAATAACTGATTATTCAGTCAACAGAGAAAGCATGCATGTTGGGCATTTATTATTATTGCAGTGTTTCTCAGCTTCAGTAATTTTAAGATGTGTGGTTTTTAACTCCCAGAATTCTAGGAAAAACTGATACGGAAACATTAATCTATTATATCACAGAAATAACTTTTGTAAAACATTTATAGAAAACATAGATTTCCTGTAACTGAACACTTAATGGCTTTGAAGAGAATTTTTACCAGTTGTACTTCAAATTTTGTTTGCAGTGGCTACATTGATTGTTAAACTTTTTTTGATAATGAAATCCAGATTGTTCTGAGTGACTTAACCTTTTGTGGCAATTGTTTTAAATGTTTTCAGCCTCGAGGCCAAGATTTTAACTGAGGAAAGCAAGCTTAATCTTAGAGTTGGCAAATGGAGAGAGAGTTAGGGCAGAATGGAAAGATACTCATAGCAGACTGGAAAAACTCTTCTCTTTTATGTATGTTGCATCCTTTTACAAATATTTTCCATCTGTGCTTCCTTAGTGAGTTTACAGGACTTGGCTAGATTGAAGAAGCTTTATGATGGTGAATGGGCATTTTCAAGGAAATGCTTTTTCACAGCTATCAATAAACCTTTGCAAGTGCTTGATATTCAAATAATGACAGAACAAACACAGTTGTTAAGCAAGCCACTTATTTCACTTCTTGCATCTTAGTTTGACCATTAACTTAATACAGATTGTGAAGTTGTTCAAAACATATCCAGAGTCCATTTCTAAAATTCAGAATTTCTAGCATGCCTGAAAAAATCCTGCCACTCTCAAAATATGCATGCAATTTACTAATACATAAAATGGAAAAAAATGAGTAACTTATTACTCCAATGTTCTTAAGCAAACATTCCTTTTTTAAAATGTTTCTAATTAGATCAGGACAAAATGTACTTATTTAAAAATTTTTACTTTTAATTAATGCATATTAATAATATTTTACAATTGTATTTGATTTTCATTAGGTATGTGACATTTACTTGCTGAATCTGAGCACAAATCCAACTTTAAAATTTACCTAATAATTATTAATTATTATATAATATATGTATTATATAATATATGTATTAGCCCTTGACGTGATGGCCCGCTGCCTGGAGGCCGTACGGGTCTGGATGGGGAGGAACAGACTCAGGCTCAACCCTTCCAAGACCGAGTGGCTGTGGTTGCCGGCGTCTCGGTATGGTCAGCTGACGCCATCGCTGACTATAGGGGGCGAGTCTTTGGCCCCCTCAGAGAGGGCGCGCAACTTGGGAGTCCTCCTGGATT